TTTCTACATAGTAGCACTTTATCTTTAGATAGTGAGCAGGCTCTTTGGCAATGCAAGCTACTGTAGCTCATAGATTGCAGATCATTTTTAACATTGTCGGAAAATTCCATGAACATTAAAAATATAATGTTTCAGACAAACCCGAATTTGAAAAGGCATCTGTTGATCAATATACAATTGTGGACGGTAGATCTCGAGAGGTACATGTTAGAAAGATATTTTTATATAACATTTGATTCAACTTTTGCAAGCCGTCACCACAAAAAGAATAGCTGTATTTCCTTAAATTTGTCACAGTCTTTTAACATTTCAGGTGGAACTTCTCTGTCCTGTTGCCGCATCAAATCCGCCGGCAGTTCTTTTTACGTTCTATCGTGAAGGAAATGAATTGAATGATCCATCCAAATATAATGTTACGATGGACAAGTACCATAAATGGGCTAAATTGAGGGTAAGTTAAGCTATCGAAAATGCTCTTGCCGCTCTTGTAAAAGCGATTAGTTTCGAGATGTAAATTTCATGTTAGCTAAAATTAGTAGAGAATCTAAAGCTTATTTGATTGGAGAGCGCTTGAAAAAAAACCTAACATGAATGAACTGCAGTGGATTTTTTCTCAAATTCCTTCTTCCTACAAGTTAAAAAAATTAAAAAGGTTAGATTCTTTCTCAAATGAGGACTACGACATACGCTCTGAAAAGCTTGTATATTATTTTTCTCTCATAGGAAAAAGTATAATATTCTGGTCTTAGAAAGTTTGTCTAAACCCGATATTCAGATTTTCGATGTGGACGAAGAGGATTTAGACGAATATCGCTGTGAAGTCAATAACGGAAAGGCCAAAAGCACAATGACTATTCATCTCAAAGAAACTAGTATGAAAAACGTTATTATTAAAAACAATGAGCATTCATTTATTCGATCTTAGATCCTCCATCTGAACCCAAAGTCACGCTACATAATGTCAAAAAGCACGCAATTACATGGAAAATTGAGAATAAAGAGGTTATTTGCATTTTTACTTCCATACCACAAAAAAGTCACTAATTTTCTTAAATAGTTTCAGGAAGAAGGAGAACTTCCAATCAAAGAGATTGAGATCGACTACCTTAGAAAAACTTTGG